AAAAAAAAAAAAAAAAAAAAAAAAAAAGGGGGAAAAACGGGGGGGAAAAAAAAAAACCAGGAAATGGAAAAACTCCGTTTTCCCCCCCAAAAAGCCCCGAGGAGCAAATGGGGGAAACAAAATATAAAGTCCCCCGTTTTTTCTAAGTATGTTTTCATGTCAGCAAGTGTGCCGACATCAACGGTTACTGTGAAAACGCCACTGCCTTCGGCGGTTTCGGTTACTTCCGTAACAACAAGGTTTTCAATGTCCGTTACGAACCTGACAGATTTGTAGGTTTTCCGATCCGCTGTCGGCTTAAGAGTAAAGGTCGCCACAGGGGATAGAACAGCCTCGTCGTATTTATCAACGAGACCACCAACGGTGTAGCTGCTGCATCTTCAGCGGCTTCGAGGACGCTGTCGATTGCATCAACGCTTGTTACGCTAACGTTTGTCGGACCGAGAGGCGCGACATCGTCAACATTGTCAACCGAGAACATTGCTGTAACGCCATCTACGGATAGATTTGCGCTTCCATCTGCTTCGGCCATTGCTGTTGCACGCACCATGTACTGGTTGTCGTCCTTAGTGTGATCACGTGCGCCAGGGCTGTCAGCAGTAATGCTATCTTCAAGCGTTGTTGTATCTACCTCAATCATCCATCTTTGATAGGTGTCGGAGGTTACAACATTCTCTCCAGCAACATCCGCTACGTCCGCTGCTGCGAGTTTTGCATCGTCAGCTGCAGTAACGGGACTACTTTCGGAGGCAGTGCCGACCGCTTTCCACTCTGTGTCGTTTTTGCGTTTAACTTCAAAAACAACAGAGGTGGTGGGTGCCGACGTAATCTCAGGTGAGTAACCGTAGAGTGAAATGGTTCCCTGAGGCGCGCCACTATCCGGGTTCGTCTGTGTTGGATCACCGACAGTAAATGCCAGAACTTGAGGAACCGGTCGGCTGAGTGTTTGAAACAGTCACCGAGATTCTGGATCCATCCGTTTCGATCATCCAGCTTGCACGTTGCCGAACTCGTCAAAGGCGAGGGCATGGAACATGTAAATCCCATTTTCCAAGTATTCACCATCAGCGAGTGTGCCACATAAAGGTTTATGTGAAAGCCACAACCTTCAGCAGTTTTACATCCGCGATAACAGACATTCAACGCCGACAAACTAACAGATTCATAAGGTTCCGAGAGCTGTTCGTTCAACGTGAAGGTACTATGGTGAGTTAACAGCCTCGTCGTTAACGGCCTCGTCATACTTATCGACGAGTCCACCGACAGTGTAGCTGCCATCTCCAGCGTCTTCAAAGACGCTGCCGGTTGCCTCAACGTTTGTTACGCTAACGTTTGTCGGACCGAGAGGCGCGACATCGTCATCGTTGTCAACCGAGAACATCGCTGTAGCGTCTGGGGATGGCCCTGGATCTTCAAAGTCGGATGCTTCTTCAATCGGGACCGCACGGACCATATACCGGTTATCGTCTTTAGATGCATCGCGTGCTGCAAGGCTATCCTTCATAATGGTATCTTCAAGTGCTGTTGTATCTACGTCAATGGCCCACATTTGATAGGTTCGACTGATCGGTACAACTGTCGCATTACCACCGTCGCTCGCTTCTGCGGCACTGACTGCCCTATTGGCTAAGTCACCAATGAAATCAGCGAAGGTTGCGTCTGAAACTCCGGTAGTCTCAGTACTTCCAGTGGCAGTGCCGATAGAGGCTGCCCAGGCACGACCCAGGTCGTTCTTACGTTTAACCTCAAACTTCACAGAGGTGGTGGGCGGAGAACTTATCTCGTGCGAATAAGCGTTAAGCATGATGGTTCCCTGAGGTGCACCACTATCCGGGTTCGTCTGTGTAATGCTTTCGGAATCCACTATGAGTGCCAAAACTTCGGGAGCCGGTCGATATCTGTTTTCAACAATAACCGTGATTTTGGGTGAGAGCCCATCGGTCTGCGGATTTTTAAATGCGTCAACAGACTCAGCGTGGAAACTATAAGTTCCGTTAGCCAGTTCACCCACATCAGGAAGTGTTACATCCCAACCACCTGCAGTATTAAGAATTTCGGTTTCAGTACCATCAGGGTCAGTTTTGGAACAACTTGCTGAGCGCGGGGGAATAAAGTCTTTGGAATCACATCATCCCCAGGCTTAATGGTAAAGGTAAGACTCAGGGGTTCAAGGGTTAGATCATATTTGTCAACGAGTCTGCCAACCTTGTAGACATCACCTTCGGCTTCAACCGGTCCAGCAGTTGTAGCTACTTCGACAATATTTGTAGGACCAAGCGGTCCGACATCATCATCGTTGTCAACTGAGAACTCTGCTGTAAACGTGGGAGTGGGGATGCTTTCTTTCTGTTCCGTCCGCAGCTGCGATTGCGGTTGCTCGGACCATATACTGGTCGTTGTCCCTCGTATGATCATATGCGCCCGGGTTGTCCTTAGTGATGGTATCCGGAAGCGTCGTTGTATCAACCTGAAGCATCCACGTCCCTCTGCTAGTCGAAGTCCCAACAGGGATCCACCTTATGTCACTCGGACGCTTGACTTCAAAGTACAAACTTGAAATCGGTGGAGATGTTATCGCGGGTGTCCTCGCATTGAGCCTAATGGTTCCCTGCGGACCGCCACTATCTACGCTCCTCTGTGTGATGCTTGCTGGATCTACAGAGATTCGCAGACTTCGGGAGGCCGGAGTTCTTATGTTTGCAACGTTTCACGAAGGCTTTAGAGTCGTCAGTATCGTCTTCCAGATTGCCGGACGCATCAACAGCGAGTGCTTGGAACGTATGGGTTGTTCCGTTAGCAAGTGTGCCAACATCAACAGTTACTGTGAAAACGCCACTTTCAGTTTCGGCTACATTACCGATAAGAAGACCTGTAGTAGCCGTAGTGAAGGTGACCGTCGCGTAAGTGTTCGGCGCCGCTGCCGGTGTAATCGTAAATGTAGCCACTGGTGATGGAACAGCGTTGTCATATTTATCAACGAGTCCACCGACTGTGAAACTATTACCATCTCCTCTTCTAACGTAGGCATTAGTTCCGCTAACACTTGTCACAACGACGCTTGTAGGACCAAGTGGTCCGACATCATCAATGTTGTCAAGTGAGAACATTCTCGTGGCATCAGAGAGCGACTCATTTCCGTTTGTGTCACAGCAAAGTGGCGAACCAATATTACTGTTTCCATCCATGTGATGCATCCGTGCGGGCGGGACTCTCATGCGTGATGGTATCTTCCAGTCCCAACGCTATCGTATCTACGGAAACAAGCCACTCACGATAAGTTGCATCAATAGCGACGACTGAGCTATCTTCATCAACAGCCTCGGCAAGATGATAAAGAACTTTGGGTAGCGAATCATCTTCAATGTCAACAGAGCTGCTAACATCGCCGGTGCCGATAATTTCACATGCACTTTCGGGATCACTTTCACGTTTCGCTTCCAAGCGGATTGACATGATAGGCGGCGAACTCTGCTCAAGCGTGTAGCCTGCAAACATAAACGTTCCCTGCGGACCGCCACTATCCACGTTCGTCCCCGTCCCATCATCAACTGTTAATTGGACAACAGTTGGGTCTGGACGTAGGTAATTTTTGACGTGAATTGTGCTTTCCGGTGAGAGATCGGTCTGCCGATTACCATACATTGCATCAGGTCCGTCAGGAGATCCATCATAAGCCAAGGCATGGAGGGTATAGGCACGATTTCCAGCGATACCCAGTTCGCCTACATTAACGGTTATCTCAAAGACCCCTTCGCTGATTTCGACAGGGTTTCCGATAACATTAGCATTAATTACAGGATTACACTGACCAACATCACCGATGTGTAAGTTTTTCGAACAGCAGTCGGTTCAATGGTAAGCGTAACACTCTGTGGAACGACTGACGGATCATTTTCGTCAACGAGTCCACGATGAGTATCGGCTTCAACCATACCACCAACGTTAGCAATAGTGGTGATGTTTGTTGGCCCGAGGGGACCGACATCATCAACATTGTCAACGGAGAGCATCGTTGTGGCATCAGAGGGCCATTCCATTTGTTCCGTCCATGCTGACAGCAAAAGCGCGGATTGTATACGGGTTGACATCCTTGGTGTGATCCCGTGCGCCGGGACTGTCCTTCGTGATGGTGTCTTCCAGCAGCGTTGCCGTATCTACAGTAAGCGACCATTCGAGGTAGTCACCAGGAACGACCGAAGCGTCAGTGCCTCCAGCTGCAAGACCGATAGCTGCTTGAACAGCATCAACGAGATCTGTAGGAGTAGCACTTTGATTCGCTATGCCGAGTTCTATCGGTTCTCCATCGTCCTGTGTGGCTTCAAACCGAACAGCGACAGTCGGTGGACCCGTCAAGTCTAACGTGTATGCGTTAATAGTGACTGTGCCTTGTGGACCCTCACTATCTGGGTTAAGACTCGTGATGGACATCTCATCAACTGCGAGTGCCAACACCATAGGCGGGTAATCACCAGCATCCAAATTAATTGAGAATGCCGTCGGATTAGGATCCGTGAGTTGGAGCGCATTGGTTGCTATGGCCTGTACGTTGACGGTGGCACCTGCGGCCAGCAATGCGTCGAAATCTGACACAGTCCAACTGATTTCAAATGTGCCATCATCCATGACAGTAGCTGGACCAATGTCTGCCCAAGTACCACTTGCATCCTCATATTGGACTAACACACGTGACAGGATGAGGAGTACGCTCTATAGTACCGGTTAACATCACACCCTCAGTGGTATTCGCGTAGATGGTTCCCGTTTCATATTCATCTTCGCCAACCCTATACTGGTCAGCAATGGTAGCAGCTGTGACGCTCGCTTTGTCATATACTGGTGCGACGATCCTCAGATGGGTAGGCGTAGCATAAGCACCGACGTTGAAGAGGGTATCAATTCCCATTGCGCGGATACCGTAGTCTCCGACCAAGAGCGGCATATTCTCACCTTGGATAGGCATCACAAGGTGATCGGATGCATCAAAGGTTACCGGTACAAGGTGATCAACGATGTCTATTGTAGCACCGAGTGCATCAACAATCAATTGCGCTTGGCTATCACTTAGGCTGCTGAACCCTATATAAGGCTCCAAACCCTTTAGGAACGGACCTGCGAATTGCTGTAGCAAACCAGCATTCAGAATACCCAACACACCACTTAGCGGCAACGCCAAGGCTGTCTGAAGGATTGGATCGGACGGCGCGTCTATTCGTCCTTCTGCGACTGCCTCCTGAACTGCTTCCCAAACATTGGATACCAACATAGTGGAATCAACAGTCAACGGCATCCAAGTGTTGGGGCGTTGGGTCGATGGTTCTCCGAGGTAGGGTGTCCCATCTTCATTCAATCCAATCAATTGATATAATAGGTAACCTATACCTGGACCTACGTCAGTAGCCGTACCGCTGATATTGAGCATTCCAGCAGTACCGGCAGTAGGCACAGTGGCAATAAAGACATCCCCGTTCTGATAACCGGTAACGTTTTCACCTAACCCAATGTTAATACCGCCTTCAGGGGCACTCGTGTCAACAGTGATATTCTCTTGAATCCGATCAAGAACGGTTCCGTCAGCATCAAGTACATCCGCTTTCAACTGATAGTTACCATCAGCAATATTATCAATGCGTGCAGTCCAGAGTGAATGCGTTTCCAAATCAACGCGCGGAAGGGTGAAAACAGAAGCCAACATCGGGTCGAATTCATTCTCAAATTGAGTTGTCAGTGCGTTCGTGTTCCGGAGTAATATGTTCTGGATCCTGCGCAGTTGCTGCGGCGTAGCAGCATTCAGAATCTCATTTATATTGACTTGCTGACCCGCGAGGGCTTTTGCGACTACATTAATAACTTGCGGTGAAGTTAATATGTTGGAAAATTCAGTTGCCAAATCAGGTGTGAATAACTGATTAACAATACCGCGTCAACTAATTGGAGGTTACGCGGATCTGGCATTGCCCAACCGTCAATCCTAATTTTATGTAGATTCGCTGGGTTAAAGATATCTGCTAATGTAACAGTGGTCGGGTCCAGGGCTGCAATAGCATCCCGGTCCAGTGCGGTGAACAGCAACGGCTCAGCAAGCACTACTTCAAAGTAGTAAAAGATGCTGCTGTTGCTACGAGGGGGTATACCTAACGCTTTTTCCCAGACGACACCATTTCCAGTATCAGTCGCAACCATTACATCAGAGAGGTAATCTCCCATCGGACCTGTAGTTGAATACCGGATTCTAACCTCTGAGAACAACTGTGCGTTAGCCAGACCTGGCCATGCCGGTAAGTTGGTAGCAGCAAGCGTCTCCTCTAAGCGGAAGGTATAAGGGATGGTATCGGCTTGGAATTCATCCATTGTAACCTCTGTGCCTGGAACGGTTGTACCATCTGAGAGGCTAAACTCAACACCAGCAACTTTCGCTGGAACCCGCGTATAAACGTGCAGACCATCGCTTGTCAGGTATTTTTGGTTTGGTGCTTCGCCAAAATCGGTGTAGAGAAAATCAGCAAAATTTGGCGTTATAGCATTTCCGAAGTTCTCAGGATCTAATTGACCTGCTTCTTTCGGGAAAGCAGTGAGACGCTTTGACAGTAAAATCTGCCGAATCTGCTTTTTGGGAAGAAACCCTTTTGGAACCGCATCAAGGATTGCATCCACTACGACCTCTGCTTCAAGCGTTATTCCGTCGGGTGCCAGTGCAGCAATAAAATTCTCTACGAATGCCCTTGCAGAAGCGTTGTTTAGTGACAGACCACCCAGTCGTGATTTGCCCGAAAGGTTTGTCAGTGCTGTTGACTCAAATTCTTCTACCATTGGAACTTGCACTTGCACTGGTGTTGGGGTCGTCCCGTCGTCCGGTGTTGGGGTCGTCCCGTCGTCCGGTGTTGGGGTCGTCCCATCGTCCGGTGTTGGAGTTGTTCCATCATCGGGTGTCGGGGTCGTCCCATCATCTGGCGTTGGAGTTGTTCCTCCTCAAGTCCGTGTTGGGTTGGTCCCTCAGCAAGTGTCGCGTCCCATCGTCCGTGTTGATTTGTTCCCTCATCCGGCTGGGGTCGTCCCTATCGTCCGTGGAGTGCCAGCAAGGCTGCGGTTCTCGTCATCGCTGCAGATCCTGAGCAGTCGCACGCTGGTCATCGCTGAGAAAATCCTTGACTTCTTGATCTTCTTCCAGAAGTTTTATGAATTCTGGATCCAAGTTCACACCGAAATTTGCAAGGATACTCGGAGTCGCAACGACAGCATTAATGGTGGCAGGGGTTAAAAGTGCTTGAATGTTTGGTGCTTTCAAGCCCTCCAGAACCTGCTGAGCAGAACTGCTGAACTGCTTCTGTGGGTGCTGGGCGAGATCCGCACTGTGGAAGCACTCACACCGGATTTTTCATGTACCGTGTATCGTGCGAGAGAAGCATCCTCTTCCTGCCCGAAAACTGTGTTCGGAATTGCAGTGTAAAAAACACACAATGTAAAAATCAAAAAACAAACGAGTGATGTTCGTTTTTTCATTAACTCATCCTCCTCGTTAAGTCTGCGCGCTCGCAAGACTAGTACTGAGTTTCTTAGATGGGCAAGCGAGAATACAACAAAGACGACCGGGGTATGATGTTTGCCCATCTAATTAACATCTTACCAACGAGCATTAAAATTTCCCGATACCGATGTCGCCGTAGGGTAAAGTTGGTATATAACCTAAGGCACAGGTCAGAACAGATGGAAAGGGGCATCTAACTTCCATGTTTGACTCTGCGGGAATTTTTCTATTATTTTAGCAAAAAGTAGCAAAATTAAGCAAGCATTATCTTACATGTCTTACATGTCAGAGACATTAGCGTTACAGGTGCGAAACCTGTAACCAGAATCGTCCTGCAGTTGTGTGATGTTTTATGCAATCGGTAAAAATTTGTTCCCGCCGCATCGGTATATCATCGATTAAATTGCAGTCCGCTTATATATGATACCACAACTTTTGAAACATGTCAAACCAAAATAGGGATTTTGGATGAAGAATTCTGACGATTTTAATCAGAAATCAACAATCTATTTGACATATTACCAGAAAACACTTAAACTGTCAAGAAAAAAATCGCATTTGAGGAAAAAGCCTATGTTAACTGAATCTGAAAAAGCACAATTGGATCAGAACGGTTTTCTGCTTCTCGAAAGCCTGATACCGTCCAATACAACGGAACAACTTCGGGAACGTGCTTTGGCACTCGCTTCAGCAGAGCAAGAAACCGGTAAAAGCCATACATACCTCGCGAACGACAGTGCACAACGCGTCTGGAATCTCATTGCCAAAGGCGAGATCTTTGAAGAGGCTATCCAACAGCCGAAGATGCTTGCGGCGATGGCGTATCTACTCGGCACCGATTGCACATTGAGTTCCTTTACGGTGAATGTGCTTTATCCCGGTGCACCGGATGCCGGTCTCCATATCGATTATCCACTGTCTGCCTTGCCGACACCACGTCCGAGTTTTCCGCTGGTTGCTAACAGCGTTTGGTTCTTAGATGACTTTACGCTTGAAAATGGAGCCACCAGTTGTGTGCCGGGAAGCCACCGACGGCTTGAGGCAATGCCTGAACCGGGTATTGAATACACCGACGAGTTGCAAATTTGTGGACCGCGAGGCTCTGTCTTAATTGTTAATGGGGCAATATGGCACGGTTCTTCAGAAAATACAACGCATGAACCGCGTGTTGGGTTACTCGGTTTTTTTTGTCGCTCTATCCTGAAACCGCAGCAGGCGCACCTCAAATTGGTATCCGATGAAGTTATCTCGCGCGCAACACCAACACTAAGGCGGTTACTTGGTCTCGATTCATTGCCGAATATGAACGCGTAAATTATGGCACAATGTGAGCTTTCTCTGCCATCAATACCCATTTGGCTTTCGGTGTATTCGGCATCAATTGATATATCAAGCGCGCTCTGATCGTATCGCCGGTTGCAGCGGATACCATATCAAAAGGGTAAGTTCTATTTTCGTTTGGAAGCAGTCGGTTCTCACCCTTGGCAG